TCAATAGGACCCATGGAATGCATGCATTTGAATACCCTGGCAAAGACAGTAGATTCAATGAGGTATTCAACAGAGCAATGCATGACCATAGTGCAATTGCGATGAAGAGAGTTTTGGAATGCTACAAAGGTTTTGAGGGAGCCAAAGAAGTGGTAGATGTGGGTGGTGGATATGGGTCAACACTGTCCTGCATTATCTCCAAGTACCCTAACATCAAGGGAATCAACTTTGATTTGCCCCATGTCATCAAAGAGGCTCCTGCTATTCCAGGTATGTACCCTAAACTTGAATTGTTTCTATTTGTAAACTCTTAGTACTACAGGGTTTCTGCATATACTTATCATTAGTGATGGTCATAGGGCGGGGAATATGCACTCTAGTCCTTGATGCCACACTTGAGGGATATATTTTCCCCATCCCACAACTAGGGGATAGGGCGGACATTCCCCGTCCCTGCAAAAGTTCAAAAGGGACGGGATTTCCTGTTCCCAATATTTTATATTATATATAATTAAAAAGGTAAAACATGTAATAAATTTAAAACAATTTAAGAGTTAAAATACGAAATTTCACAAGGTCAACATACTAACACAAAGATAATGTCTTACTTATTGTTAGGTGTGGAGCATATTCCAGGAGATATGTTTGAGAGTGTTCCCTGTGGAGAGATTATATTCATGAAGGTTAGTGCTCATTCCTCAGTAAAATATACTAGTGTAAAGACAACTTGCGAAAAAAGAAGAAAATGATGGTATCTTTGTTATACACAATATCTAAGCAAATTGTTCTGGAAACTGCAGTGGATACTACACGATTGGGATGATGAACATTGCCTGAAGCTGCTGAAGAACTGTTGGAAAGCTTTGCCAGAATCTGGTAAGGTGGTGTTAGTAGAAGGTATACTGCCGGAACATCCTGGGAAAGATGTCGCGCATGGTAATGCATTCTATGGTGACGTACTCATGATGACGATGAATCCTGGAGGGAAAGAGAGAACACAGAGACAATTTGAAGCCCTGGCAAAAGAGGCAGGATTTGCTGCTCTGAAAGTCATATGCGCTGTGAATACTGAATGGGTTATTGAATTGTACAAGTAATTAAGTTGTTTGCATAAAAGATTTTGAGACAAAAGGAAAATTGTTATTGTTCCTCCTAATAAATTCCATACAGTTGCAATAGCAGTTAAATAACATATATAATTTTTAAGTTGTTCATCTCTTGGTTCATATTGATGTTGCTAGAATAGAGCTTAAAAATTATTTTTAAAAAATAAGACTTGTGTGGAATTTAGCAGATTGGATTAAATTATAAATAATCTAGATTTTGCATGTTAGGCAAAATAATAATAATAATAATAATAATAATAATAATAATAATAATAATAATAACAACAACAACAAAACTGGTAACTTAAAAATTGTTGAAAATATTACATAAATTATATCATTTTAATTCTTATCAAAATGACACTTTAAAAAAAAGTTAAAAAACACACACACACAATAATCAATTAATATGGCATTTGTAATAAAATAAAAAAATAAAAAAATAAAAAGTAAACACACGTACACACTTGACAAAGTACAAATTGAAGGATAGCTTTAAAATAAATGACCAAGTGAGTGGAACAAAAATCTCATACTTTACCTTGAGTAGAACAGAAATCTCGTACCTAAAAGTCACGAGTTCAATTCTTGTCAATATCATCTTAGTTGAGCATGTTGTGTTGGCCTTTCCTAATGCCATTTTCCTAATAATAATAATATGGAATAAGGGTCAAATAGGTCACTCAACTGCATACCAAACTGCAATTAGACCATCGAACTCAAAAAATAATAATAATAATATGCAATTGGGTCGCTGAACGACACAAATTCATGCAATTGGCTCAAAATGACCTGTTTACCTAAAAACTTTGCTGACGTGACGGTTGCGGATTTTAAAAATAATTTTAAATAAAAAATTAATTAAAATTCAAAAAATAAAATAAAATAAAATAGAACGGTCGGAGACGAATCATCTCCAGCCGGCTTCGTTTCCATGGCAGGAGATGAAGAGACTGGTTCATTGCCTAGTGACATTTTCCAATTTTCATAATCGATTTTCAATTTGATCATAAATGGCTAATTGACTATTGATGTTGTTCGAAATTTGATCATCTAGTTGAATATCCATTTCGTAAGAATTAAATTTAAGGGTAATAATGTAAAATTTAGCTTGTTGTTGAGATGGGCAATTGAATTCATAAACTTTTATATTATTACCCTTAAATTTATTGTTTACTAAATGAATATTTAACTGAAAAACCAAATTTGGAACAAAATCAATAGACAAGGAATCATTTATAATTTTATGTTAAAATTAAAAGTCAATGATGAAAATTGGTAAATGTCAAGAGTCAAAGAAATCATTTATAGTCAAATTAAAATTCGTGAATAAAAATTGACAAATGTCAATAGTCAATAGACTATTCCTAAAATTAACTCTAATAATAATAATAATAATAATAAGTATGAATTACTTTGAAATTTGAACCATCCATTTAGAATAATTTTTTTTTTTTTTGAATGCATCCATTTAGAATAATTAATAACAATAAAATAAGAAAAAGAACATATCAATTTCATAATATAAATATACAAACTTTGAAAGTTTGTAATATTTATTAAATTGATTGTCCTTTTTTTTTCTTTCTTTCGTTTTTCCTTATTTTCTAACCATTAGATTTATCATATTGATAACTAGCATTTATTGGCATATATCCACACTTTGATACAGGGGCGGGTGGATGTGGAATGTCAAACATGGATACCTTAATTCAGGGAATGCAGGCGAAACATTAAGCCTATTTTGTTCATTTAGGTTGGTGGGAAGTCTAATGATGTCAACATGAACAAATCAATCAATGCAAGGCAAAAAAGAAAAATAGAAGTTCTCATACTCTCATCTCATATGTTGGTGGGAAGTCTAATGATGTCAACTTGAACAGTTCAAAGAATGCAAGGCAAAAAAGAAGAATAGAAGTTCTCATAATCTCATCTCATCTGCCCCCCTCCCCATATTAATAAATGACTAACCCTGTGACCTTAGGGAAAAGCACCCTCCAACCCACTACAACATCCTACAAAACTCTCCCCATTTCCAGAGCTCAATACCCAAATCCCTCTCAGAACCAGAAAGCAAAGAAAGATCAAAGATGAGTTCATCATCAATAAAAGAAATGGTAAAAATTCCAAGTGAAGAAGAAGAGGGATTCTTGAGAGCCATGGGGCTACCGAGTGGGATAGCCGTGATGATGGTTTCAAAAGCTGCCATTGAACTTGGGGTGTTTGAGATCATTGCAAAGGCTGGTGAAAGAGCAAGGATTTCTGCTAAAGAAATTGCAGAATGTCTTCCCACACAAAACCCTAATGCACCAGTCATGTTGGACAGGATGCTTAAGTTTCTTGCCAACCAGTCCATTCTCAGGTGCACACTCACAGAGGATAATCAGTGTTCATACAGTTTAGCACCAATCAGCAAGAACTTTGTCCCTAATGAAGATGGGGTGTCCCTTTCAGCCTTGGTACAATTGGCCACTGACAAAGTGTTTGTTAATTCCTGGTATGAACTATTCTCCTGATCTTCCTTTTGTTGTTTGAGATTTTGTGAACTATGGAGTAGTTTTTTTCACTTTTTTTAAGTGACGGGGGAAACCCACAACTACTACCCGAGAGTGTGCATTGAGTAAAACCCGCCTTGTTATCCTAGCCGACAAAGGATCACAAGGACAAGGAGATAAATCAACCTTGGTTGTCCATAGTTGACCGACCCAAACTAAGAAGGCCAATAGGCCGCTCTCGCCGTGAATCAAACTTGTATACTAAATCAACAACCTGACCAACTTGGCTAAGGTTGTCCCCAGTTTTTTCACTTTTGGTCTTTTGACTTTTATGGCAGTTTTCATAGTTCTCAACTACTATTTTTTTTTCACTATTAAACTATTTTCAATCTTCCAAGTTCCAATACATACGCTTGCAATCACGCATATGGTCATGTTTATCCAGATCATACCCTCGAATAGTGGCAACGAGTTTCACTCGTCACCCCCAAAAAACCTATTTTAGGGAAGATAAGACTAAAACTTCATAATTAGACTAGTCAACTATTTTACAAATTCTTTGGCAGGAAGCATTTGTCATTAAATCATTCAAGTAGAAAGCTACACTTACTAGGAAAGGTAATGTGCACTCACATGGTGGCTTTGATTTACTCATTTAACATACACAAGTGAGTTTGTGTGAAGGTATGCATTAAAAGATGCAGTGCTTGAGGGAGGAGTCCCATTCAATAGGACCCATGGAATGCATGCATTTGAGTACCCTGGCAAAGACAGTAGATTCAATGAGGTATTCAACAGAGCAATGCATGACCATAGTGCAATTGCGATGAAGAGAGTTATGGAATGCTACAAAGGTTTTGAGGGAGCCAAAGAAGTGGTAGATGTGGGTGGTGGATATGGGTCAACACTGTCCTGCATTATCTCCAAGTACCCTAACATCAAGGGAATCAACTTTGATTTGCCCCATGTCATCAAAGAGGCTCCTGCTATTCCAGGTGTGTACCCTAAACTTGAATTGTTTCTATTTGTAAACTCTTAGTACTACAGGGTTTCTGCATATACTTATCATTAGTGATGGTCATAGGGCGGGGAATATGCACTCTAGTCCTTGATGCCACACTTGAGGGATATATTTTCCCCATCCCACAACTAGGGGATAGGGCGGACATTCCCCGTCCCTGCAAAAGTTCAAAAGGGACGGGATTTCCTGTTCCCAATATTTTATATTATATATAATTAAAAAGGTAAAACATGTAATAAATTTAAAACAATTTAAGAGTTAAAATACGAAATTTCACAAGGTCAACATACTAACACAAAGATAATGTCTTACTTATTGTTAGGTGTGGAGCATATTCCAGGAGATATGTTTGAGAGTGTTCCCTGTGGAGAGATTATATTCATGAAGGTTAGTGCTCATTCCTCAGTAAAATATACTAGTGTAAAGACAACTTGCGAAAAAAGAAGAAAATGATGGTATCTTTGTTATACACAATATCTAAGCAAATTGTTCTGAAAACTGCAGTGGATACTAAACGATTGGGATGATGAACATTGTCTGAAGCTGCTGAAGAACTGTTGGAAAGCTTTGCCAGAATCTGGTAAGGTGGTGTTAGTAGATGGTATACTGCCGGAACATCCTGAGAAAGATGTCGCGTATGGTTGTGCATTTTACGCTGACATACTCATGATGACGATGAATCCTGGAGGGAAGGAGAGAACACAGAGACAATTTGAAGCCCTGGCAAAAGAGGCAGGATTTGCTGCTCTGAAAGTCATATGCGCTGTGAATACTGAATGGGTTATTGAATTGTACAAGTAGCTAAATTGTTTGCATACAAGATTTTGAGACACAGGAAAAAAAAAAGACTTGTGTGAAATTTAGCAGATTGGATTAAATTATAAATAATCTAGATTTTGCATGTTAGGCAAAATATTACGCCAAGATATGGATTACAGGATGTGATTGAGTGATTCAGCATATGAATAAATGGGATGAATCAATACACAATAGAAAAGTTACCTTAATCTAAGGTGATGAGAATGGGATGGGCTTCGCAGCACTAGTGATTCGCCTAAATGCTGTTTTAACTTGTTCCTTGAGGCCATCATTTTCAGTTTCAACATCACCAATCTGTTTGTCAAGTTCCGCTATGTTCCCATCGACATTTATAACGAATTTGCCATTCTCCCCAAGTTTTACATCACCAAACAATGAGACCAACAGTGTGTGAATAATTTTCTCAGTTTTCTTTGCATCTTCCTCTCCATTTACCACAGGTTCTGATTCCACAACCAACTTTGGCATTTCTCGGTTTGCATTTAAAACCAATGTAACAACAGAGTCTGAGACCATATCACTAATAGGACCCGCTATCCAATGCACAGAAAGGTGATTCTCTGACTCCTGTTTAACTAGAACTCTATCATGAATCCGTAGTGTTGGAACACCAAAATCCTCATCTGTTGAAGACTCGACTATCTCATAAACTTGCCTGATCCTGTGTCTAAATGTCTAATCGCAGCAAAGGCACCTGAATATGGGAAAGTAATTCTCCGAGTGACATTTGCAGTTGAAAGCTGCAAGAAGATGTCGAGAATCGAGATCTTCAGGTGCCACCAGGATCTGGTATGTGAAGCCTTTTCACGTGTTAAAGGTTCCTCGTGCTAACACTCATGGCAAGTTCATCAAGAACAGGGTAAGCATCTCTCTCAAGTTCTGCCACATACATACAGACAACCTCTAATGCAAATGGAAGTTCTTCCTGCAACCCTTCAACAGCTTCTGGCACTTGCAGCCATTTTCCAGCATTTGGAAATTGCAAATCCTCGTCTTGTACACCACTCCTCCCACTCGTCTTTAAAGCACTCTTCTGTGGCAGTCGGTGCCTCAGCTAATCAATAAACGGAAGAACCTCTTGACGCAGAGGTTCAAGCAACAAAAGTTCTTCAGAAGTTATTATAGCTCTTACAAACTCTAAGTAAATAACTAAACCCAATCAAAAACAACTCTTCTAACTCATCCTAAGCACAGTGATATTATAAAGTAGTTGAGTATATTTATATATAGACAATTATTACAGAAAAGAAACAGAAATGAGTGCATTCATGAGTTCTGTATCTAACACACCAATAGCAATGACTCCAGATTGCATAATTAATTTGGTTATGAGATTCTTACATAGGTAAAGCATCAAACCCTACCTAACAACCTTTGCATATAGAATTGCAGGAATTCAATGGTGGAAAGCATGCATCACCAAATTCATAGCAAGCACTGGATCAAAATATGCAAACACATTGTATTTACCGACATTCACATATAGGTAGGGAGAGAGAGAGAGAGTACGAAGGATACTGGAGGAGTGAGAGAATATAGGGCCGAGGATCCTCAAGTCCCTAGCAGGAATGGAGGCGCGTTTGATGATAGAGTTCTTATCGCACTCCATCAGCTCCGACTGCCCCGTCCTGTCAAACCTCATTCACAGCCTGGCCCCAGCCGCCTTCTTCTTCCCGGGCTTGCTCGTTCCCGCACTCGACGCCAGCAAACTCCCGCCGCCGCTTTCTTCCTCCGCAGGCAGCGAGAATCGGCCCTTCCCCATCTCCCTCCCTCTGTCCCAACGGCCTTCTTCTTCGAGAAAAAGATGGGAAATGCATTCATTTCTTAAAATGTGTCTAGTTTTTTTTAATTTTTTTTTTGGACAAAAATATAATAAGGACGTTTGGGAGATGCGGTCGTTAATTTCTCCACCTTATTAATGAGAGGGGAAAAACTGTGGTGATCGCCACCTAGAATTACTAACGCCAAGCTAAGACTTACCATGACAAGCGTGTCTAACCTCATTACTTTCGGGCATGATTGCAGTAGGCGCTAGGCGCTAGTTGGGCATCCGGACAACGCCTAGCGCCTAGGCGATGCTTGGCGGGCGTCAAAAAAAATAAAATAAATAGTGTTAGACTTGCCGTTTGACAATTTTAATGAGGTTGTTTTCAACATTCAATCAAATAACACAGCCAAATAAATGAAATAATGATAATTTATAAGTCATAACATCATAATAATATTAAAATCAATAATTAATGAAAGACGACATCAGACAAAATTGGTCAAAATTAGACGAAATCGGTTAAAATCGGATGACTCAGCCGAGTTGGCCGCCTAGGCGGCGGGCTGAGGAATGGTTGCCTACACCCAAAAACGGCAAGGCTTGGTGCCGCCTAGGCGGCCGAGTTTTGCAACACTGCTTCCGGGTCAGCGACTACGTCATGCGGAAGCATGAGACAAGCCAGCCCCAGGAGGGGGCAAGTTCGCCAAGAGGTGGAACTCTGAGCACCTGCTCAAGTACTTCGAAGGATTCTATTCTTGTAAGGTGGTCCGTCCCCTTAAGTTGAATAAATGCAGTAAAAATTCACCGTGGACTCATTTTCACTACTCATAGGGAGGGGCGTGGAAGGTACCCATCCAGCCTCTCTAACTACCCTAAGGGAGCACGAGGTCCGACCTTGCCACCCGACGGAAGAGCTTAACTGCTCGAAGTCGAATGACTCGAGTCGGAGGGCTTACCCTAAGAGGCTACGAGGTCCGATCTCGCTCGCTACCCGACGGAAGAGCTTAACAATTTAAGTTATTACCCTAATGGAGCACGAGGTCCGACCTTGCTCTCTACCCAACGAAAGAACTTAACGGCCCGAGGTCGAAGGAGTTGGGTTAGAGGGCTTACCCCAGGAGAAGGCAATGCTGGAGCGAAGTAGAAGGCCACCTCCTTCGCTGGAGAAATCGGTGACTGGTGTTGCCAGCGGAGAAGTGTCGGCGACCAAATTTAAAAAAAAAAAAAAATTATGAACATGTAATTCTATAATTATGCACATAGAATTCTGCAATTGTGAATATGGAGTCAATAATTGTGAATATGGAGTTCAATAATTGTGAATATGTAGTTCAAAAATTATGAACATAGAGTTCTATAATTATGAACATAGAGTTCAGTAATTATAAACATAGACGAACGCTGTTAACGACAAAAGAAAACAATTTTTTAAGCTGACACGGTGTCGTTTTCCACCAAACGATGCTGTTTTAAAACCGTGTTCACCTTGCAAAGTGGACATAGTTCCACAACATAATTTGCCAATATATATAGATATTGTTAGTAAGGTATGAGTGTATGACCATAGTTTGACCTTCACACACTACCTAGAGTGGGTTAGGCGGATCAAACCAATTCATATAGAGTTAATAATTAAAATTATAGTGATTTTTTCAATTTAGTCCCAAATAATTTTTTTTAATGCTTAATTGAATCCTAGACTTTAATGATTTTACCTAATTGAGTCATCTGCATGACTGCATCTGTTGACAATTATAATCAATGGCTAAATAGAGAAGACTCATTATAATCGATGATTAAATTGAGCAAAATCACTATAGTCGATCACTAAATTATGTAAAATTGCTATAGTCGATGATCAATTGAGTACTAATATAGAGAAAACTACTAAGTTATCCTAACATATGACTCAATTAGGTAAAATCATCAAAGTCCAGGATCAAATTAAGCACCCAAAGTCATTTAGAACTAAATCAAAAATACACTATAATCGATGACTAAATTGAATATTAACTCAATTCAAATACATGCTAACTTTATTTGCTAAGTGCAATTTTATTGTATACTCGTATTTTTTGTTAAGAGAAAATGCAAACGAGTTAATACCCAATATAGTCATCGACTATAGTGATTTTATTCAATTTAGTCTTCGACTTTGATGGTTTTATACAATTTAGTTCTTTATTAAAAATTATGTTAGTTGACTATTAGAAATAGTGTCCTAATAGTAATTTTTCATCCTTCTTTCCATTTGAGGTGATTCCTTCTTCCCCTTATTTAGATCCACGCAGAAATGTAAATCTTCGTACTCAAATATTTATTTACTCTGTATTTATTTATTTAGGATTGAAGTTGATTTGGGTACGAAGATTTGCATTTCTGCGTGGATCTTAATAAGGTGAGAAGAAGGAATCATCCCAAACACAATATAATGGTTTTGTAAGTGCCCTGAATAGTGAATACCACCATGGAAACCCAATCTGGACACTGTCTTTTGAATGGAGCGTTTGGGAGTATTATTTTCGGGAACTACTCACACACATTAAGCATAAATCTCACGCATATTAAGCACTATACTCAGGCACATTAAGTACAAAACTCACGCATATTAACATGACGCACATTAAGTACAAATCTCAGGCATATTAAGCACAACACTCACGCACATTAAGTATAAATCTCACGCACATTAATCCACCACACAACTGTTGGTACCGTTGGTAGAAAACAAATAATAATCAAATAAAATTGACTATTATTTTCCTTGGAAAGAAGGGAAGAAAAGATGAAGAAATTTGGCTAGTGTTTGGTATTGGGTTTTTGCAAGAGTCGAGTGAGCACTCTTTCCTTAAAACCTTATTTGCCACCTCCCGTAGATGCTAGGAGCGTTGTGGCCTAGGCTTCCCAGGATAAAACTTGCTATGATCCAATGTTTGAGCATTCAAACAAAGGATCCGGCGAGCAAGACAATGGCTATGAACACAGTATAGCTAAAGAAAGAGTAGAAGCAGAGATTTTTGAAGCTGGAAAAGTATACTTTCGTGCTGTGTAAAACTGTGTGTAAAACTCTACTGCCTCTACCCTCTCTTATATAGGGTTGAAGGAGCCAATAGCCTTTATTATGGCAATTAAAAATGATATTAAAGCTGCCTTCCAACAGCTATAACAGCAGGCCACTACCTGGGAATTGAATTCAGAATTCAAAATTGGAATTAATAGACAATTAATTCTGTAACAGATGAATTCAATCCCCTCAACAGTCAGAACATTCGGGAAACCTGACCGTTAGCGTACAGGGTTCGGTCTCAACTTTCGACCTCATCCAATTTCGGCCCTTGCACCTTTCGTGGACTCTGTTGCACGAGAGTTGTGCTCTCGGTGCACCACAACCTCTCGTGCTCTCTTGTAGCACGAGAGTAGGTGGCTGTTGCACGAGAGTCGTGCTCTCGGCGCACCACAACCTCTCGTGCTCTCTTGTAGCACGAGAGTAGGTGTGCTCTCGGTTCGGTTCTGGCCGAACCCGAAAGTTTGGCATAACTTAGCCCGCAAGGCCAGCCAATTTCCGGACGACATTCGTGCCCCCAGGTGCCGGCGCACACGAGCTCGGGCTTGAATCAAGCCTTTTTTCAATCTCTGCTAGTTGGAATTTGATTTGCACCCCCCCCCCCCCCCCCCCCCCCCGCGCGAGAGAGCCTCTATGCTATACAATTCTACAAGCTTCAAAAGAGCTCTTGTATATAAGGGGGGAAAATCTTCATTCCAAAGCAATGTGGGACAAAAAGCTCACTTTTTTTTCCTTCATTTTCCAACTCAAATGGGTCTACTTTGAGAATCAATATCTCATTCACCCATTATCCGTTTTGAGCGTACAATATATCGATCTCTTCGTCTCACTACGAAGAATCCGAATCCACTTTGACCCGACCCAAATCGGAAGTGGACCCCACTGATAATTGTACCACAAAATAGCCACTTAACATGCCATTTTATGCCATTTTAAGCTATTTTTTTCCAACAATCCCCCACATGAATGAAAAATTGATTTTCGGGGTATTTTGAAATCGGAAAAAACTGCGTTCAAACGGTCGATCCCTGCATAGGATAGGTAGGGAGTCACTATACCCTTTGAACC